GTCGTAGTCGTAGTCGTTGTCGTAGTCGTAGTAGTAGTAGTAGTAGTAGTAGTAGTAGTAGTCGTCGTCGTCGTCGTCGTCGTCGTCGTCGTCGTCGTCGTCGTCGTCGTCGTCGTCGTCGTCGTCGTCGTAGTAGTAGTAGTAGTAGTGGTGGTGGTGGTGGTGGTGGTGGTGGCGGTAGTATTGCCATTCTTAGTAGGGGATGTCAATCCGTGCCCTCTCCTCCCCTGGTCCCTTCCTGCTGCCCCGTAGAAGCTCCCAGCACCCAACCGAGAGCTCGCGTGAATGCCCCTATCCATGAAGGTGCTACGATACCGTGGGGACGCGCATTAGGAAACCATGTGCTTTTCGTCGGCGCACCTTGATTTTTTTCGCTGCGCGCGTTGCGCGGGGACTTCCTGCGGGCGTTACGAATATGCTGCACTCAGTGTGCTCTAGGTTTCTCCCCCGCTGCACCTCGCGCGCGGATTTTCAGGGTTGGGCTTCTTGCGATGATTTCTTGCGGCCGCGTCCGCACTGTACTCAGGCTCGCGCCGCGGCCCTGGCGCTCGACATGGTCGAGACGAGCCCCACCATGAAGGACCCCGCTGCGCACCTGCTGTCCCCTGGCGTTCGGGCGTCGCGACAGAGTCACAGCGGGCCCGTTTCCCGCGGATGATGAAGATGCTCAGTTTCTTTGTTTGTTCTTTGACCTCTCCTGCCGATGCCTCCCCACTAGACAGGCGCAACCTCTAGCACCACTTTGTTTCGACGCGGGGCAGGGGGAGGAGGAGGAGGAGGAGGAGGATGAGGAGGAGGAGGAGGAGGAGGACGAGAACGAGCAGGAGGAGGAGGAAGACGATGAAGTGAAGGGCTGCGTCTCCTGAAGACCCGGGAGACCGCAGGTTGGAGATTCGAGGAGGCAAAGGAGGAGGAAGAGGAGGAGGAGGAGGAGGACGAGAACGAGGAGGAGGAGGACGATGAGGTGAAGGGCTGCGTCTCCTGAACACCCGGGAGACCGCAGGTTCGAGGTTCGAAGAGGCAAAGGAGGAGGAAGAGGAGGAGGAGGAGGAGGAGGAGGAGGAGGAGGAGGAGGAGGAGGATAAGCAGAGTGCTTGTTTTGTTTCTGTTCTTGTTTATCACTTGGGCCTCGGGATGCCTCTGGAGGCTTCCGATGACCTCTCGAGAACGCGGAGCTCCCGATCGGGGCAGACGTAACCAGGGTCAGCGCTGGCGGGGTTCGGCCAGTCCTGTCCGATCCCCTCTGGCTGACCCGGGCTTGGACGCAGAAAAACGGGGTCGTTTTCACCGACATTGGCGCGCGTAATGTCGCGCGCCGGGGTAATGTCGACATTTGGAGCTTCCCGCGCAAGGTCGCGCGTAAGCGCCCTCGTTGCCCATGTGGTCTGCCGCGCCGTCGGCCCGCGTAAGCTTCAGCGTGGGGTTGCTATGCCATCGCGCGTAAGGCCTGTTTCTTTTCGCCGCCCGCGTGGAGCCGACCCCCCCCTCCCTTCTCGGGACGATCGACATGGGTACGGAAAGAATGGGTACAAAGACCGGCAGCAGTTCCTGTTCATTTTGAACAGGATTCGCTGTCGGCGTCGCCGCGGACTGTGTCCGTTTGAGACAGAAGGCCGTCTGCCCAACAGCGGCCGCTGTTGGTTTGTGACAGCATCTGTTGTTGGGCACTGTATCATTTTTTTCCGTACCATTTCGCGCGTCCGAATTTTCCGCCTGCTGGCCTGGGCTTGAGAGCTGTGCCGCGCTGCCGGCCGAGGCCCGGGTTCGCGGCATGGCCGCGGCTGGGCCGAGTGAGCGCTGACCTTGGGTGGCCTCTCCTCCGGGAATCTCGATCCTGACCCATGGTGTTCTCGCCAGGGATCTCGATCCTGAGCCATGTCTGAGCACTGACGGCCCGTGGGCTGGGAAAGGACCTCCAGGGGCCCAACACATGAACATATCTGATTATCTGGGCGAAGGGCCCAACCATATGCAGGTGTGAATGCCGCGAGGCAGGCGGGACGAAGGAAGGGAAGCTACCTGCATAGGGCCTCGAAGCGTGCTATGGGGAATGCCGATATGGTGGCAAGCACGCCGTGTGGAACCTGACAAGGGGGCCTTCGATGGAGCTCCCTACGAGGCCACGGAGGCGTGTGAGGGTTGTGCCTCATTTGGGGCGGGTGTGACATGCGGACCCTGCCCTATGATGTTCCAACATACTTTGGCCGTGATCACCAGAAAGAGTTTCCAGCATCAAGGAAGTATCCAAAACTGGAGGGGTTTCACGTGTCGGACCCTGGGAGGCGATACTCGTTCGGCACTTCGCCAGCGCGTCGGGCAGACACTGTTTCGCTACTTTTTCTTGGTGTTCGGAACTATTTGTGGGATGTGGTCCTTAATCGGAAACTGGAACGTGTACATTACCAGTGGCGGTTTTGTTTCAATCCCACGACTTTTTGAGGGTCGGGGGCGACGTCGGGGTGGTGTGGTGTATACTTGTTTCCCCGTTTTCCCGTGGAAACGACAAAAACCGTATACACCGGGATGCCGTAGACACCATCATCCGTTTTCTCGTGCGAATCTCAGTGCGGGACCGGAAAAAAGCATCGGTGTATAAAGTTCGGTTCCTTAAGAAACCCTGCCACTGCAGCTCTGAGGGGCGCGCGCGCGCGCCCTTCGCGCGAGAGCTGCGAGGAGCTCCGGGCCGCCCAGGAGGCGGTGCTGGCGGTGCGGCAGGCGCGGGGCGTGGGGTCCGAGGAGGTGCGGGCCGCGGAGCGGAGGCCACGCCCGGGGGGTCTGTCGTCGTCGTCGTCGTCGTCGTTGTCGTCGTCGTCGTCGGCGTCGGCGTCGTCGTCGTCGTCGTCGGCGGTGCTGGACTTGGCATTGCTCGGACGTGTGCATTGTCTTTCTCGGCGACGACCTTCGAGGAGCATCCTCGACCATCTGGCGAACAAACCACGCACGAAACCGAACAAAAGCACAGGGAATGGACGTCCGAGCGACGGCAAGTGGAGGGCAAAGGCTACCTTTCAAGCTCGCTGGGGGGCAGCGAGCGCAATCTGTGCTTCTGGGGCGACGGAGGAGGGGTTGATGCTCGTAGGGTAGTAAGAGCAGACCTGAGCAGCCTAGTAGTCGGTAAGTCCGAGCCCCTTGCAAATGGGGGTCGTAAGGAATCCTATTCACGGATCAAATTCGCCGGCCGAGTGTACCATGATCTGGCCCGGGAAGCTGCCCCCGAAGCGATCTCAAGACTCCCTGGAAGCGTCTCTAGACACATTCGTTGTCGCTACTCATGTTGACACACTTGGAACGGCCGTATCTATATCTATATCTATATCTATCTATCTCTCTCTATATATATATTTAGGCCGTGCGGGCCTAACGGGGGTCGTCGTTTCCCTGATCTGTTTTTCTTACGCACCACGGCAGAGACAATCCAGTGTCACGAATTCGTCAACCTCTACTTGCGATCTCTCCGCGATCCACATGAAGTCGCGCCCCTGCCCTCGCAAGCAAAGTCCATAATCACCATTGCGTCGCGGGATCACAGGCAGATGGGCTTCCCGCTCACTCCTCCTGCATGCCGAAAAGCTGACATGATGGAAGCCATGTCCCCCCATGGATTCGTGGAACCTTCCAGAAACAAAAACCTCCCACAAACCCTCCTCGCGAAGAATCGATGATTCCTGGAACCTTACACAAACAACCTTCCCAAAGGATTCTTACTGAAAGCCTCTACACAAGGATTCCGATTGAACACCTCTACAAACGGATTCATATTGAAAGCCCACGCAAAAGGATTCCGATTGAATCCTCTTGAGAGCCTGTACAAAAGGATTCCTATTGAGAGCCTCTACAAAAGGATTCCGATTGAGAGCCTCCACAGAAGGATTCCTATTGAAGTCCTGAAAACAAGGATTCCGATTGACAGCCTCTGCAAAAGGATTCCTATTGAGAGCCTCTACCACATGATTCCGATTGAAAACCTCTACATAAAAGGATTCTTAGTGAGAGCCTCTACAGAAGGATTCCGATCGAAATCCTTTACACAAGGATTTATATTGGAAGCCTCCAGGAGGATTCCCGTGTGAAGCCAATACAAAAGGATTCCGATTGAGAGCTTCTACAAAAGGATTCATGTTGAAAGCCAATACAGACGGATTCCTATTGACAGCCAATACAAAAGGATTCCTCTCGAGAGACTGCGCGAAAGGATTCCTATTGAGAGCCTCCACGATGGGATTTCTGTTGCGAGCCTCTACGCAATGATTCCTACTGGGGGCCTCTACACAAGGATTCCTATTGAAAGCTCTACATAAGGATTCCTATTGAGCGCATCACAAGGATTCGTATTGAGAGCCTCTACCAAAGGATTCCTACTGAAAACCAATGCAAAAAAGGATCCCTATTGAGAGCATGTGCAATACAGATTCCTACTGAGAGCTTCTACATAAGGATTCCAATTGAGAGCCTCTACAAAAAGGTTCCTATTGAAAACCAATACAAAACTATTCCGATTGAAAGCTGATACGCAAGGGTTCATATTGAGAACCTCTACACACGGATTCCTAGTGAGAGCCTCCGCAAACGACTTCCTATTGATAGCCTTTACAGCATGATTCCTTTTGAGAGCCTCTACACAACGATTCCGATTGAAATTCTTTACAAACAAGGATTCTTATTGAGAGCCTCTACCGAAGGATTCCGATCGTAATCCTTCGCAAAAGAATTCAGATTGACAGCCTCTACGAAGGGATTCCTATTGAAAGCCTCTTCATAAAGGGTTCTCATTGAGAGCCTCTGCGCAAGAATTCAGATTGGAAGCCAATACAAAAGGATTCATATTGAAAGCCGGTACACAAGATTTCTGTTGAGAGCATGTACACAAGCATTACTATTGAGAGCCTCCACAACAGGATTCCCACTGAGAGCCTCTACACACGGATTCCGCTTGAAACCCTCTCCAAAAGGATTCCTCTTGAGAGCTTGTGCGAAATGATTCTTATTGAGAGCCTCTAGAAAAGGATTCCGCTTGAAACCTCTACAAAAGGACTTCCAACAAAAAACCTTCCAGTAAATGAAATTTGAAGTCCCTGCACTTGGCTTGGACACCACAAAAATGTCATCCCTCCTCCTTTCTCCGCCTCCTCCTCTTCCGCCTCCTCTTCGTCCTCCTAGTTTTCCTTCCTCCTCCTCCTCCCCCTCCCCCCCTTCTGAAGGAATGCAAGAACTTTGGGAACACCATTCTGGACAAACCCAAAAAACCAAAGTCACTGAAGTGCTTGAAGCGAAAACTAAAAACCCAAACAACACAAATGTTCCACAGAGACTGCGGGGTTTCCCTTCAGGCTTGTCTCTTCGGACGGCACTGGTTGGAGCGGACCCCAGGAGGGGTGCGGGGACTGATTATTTTCAGCAGGGAAAAAATACACAGACACACTTCATCGTTGATTCCCCAGAAAGTGGGGGAGAAGACGCAAACCCAGAAACTGTGGGAGACTATGGGGAATCCTGTTATTTGTGTGTCTCTATCTGTGTGCCCCAGGGCCCCTTCACAGGAGGGGTGCGGGGACGGATTCCGAGGGGATTTGGCGGTGCGGGAGGTCGTCGGTCGGCGGCGCGCCGAGGGCCTTCTCAGAAGCCCTCCAGTCTTCCCTGAAGCCCCCTGCTCGGAGGGCACCAGCTATACGCCGACACCGATCCAGCCCCGGCCGATCCCGGGCCCGGGATCGGTGTGTGCGCATCCTGCCCATGGGCAGGAGGCCGTATGCACCGATCCCGGGCCCGGGTGGATCCTGGCCAGGACCTGTGTGGGCGTATCGTTGGTGCCTCCCTGTGTGTGGCTCGGGAGAAGGCGTCGAACACGTCTCAGAATGTCGGGGGCCCAACGCTCGCCGAAGGGCGAGGGAGGGGGGGGGGAGCAGAGGGACGTGGGGGATGATAGGGCAGGAGGAGGAGGAGGAGGAGGAGGAGGAGGAGGAGGAGGAGGAGGAGGAGGAGGAGGAGGAGGAAGAGGGGGTGGGGAGGGAGGAGGAGGAGGAGGAGGAGGAGGAGGAGGAGGAGGAGGAGAGGAGGATGAGGACGACGAGGACGAGGAGGACACGGTCACGTCGGTGCAAGAGTCAGTACGACCGACGTGTGTAGATTTCGAGCAGGATTCGTTGTCTCAACAGCGGTTGCTGTCGGTTTTGTGCAGCATTTGTTGTTGGACATCGTGCCCATTTTTTCAGTACTCCTTGCGGGCGTGTCGAGAGGGGGCGTCAGGGCGACGTTCGACGAAGAACGAGGGGAGGAGGAGGGGGAGAGGGAGGAGGGGTGAAGCGGATGGACCGGGAGGATGATGCTGAAGATGATGACGAGGAGGAGGATGAGCAAGAGGAAGTGAGGGAGGGAGGGAGGGAGGGAGGAAGGGAGGAGGAGGAGGTGGCAGAGGAAAGAGGGATGATGAGGAGACGGAAGACGAGGAGGGTGAGGAGGGGGAGGAAGCCGACGAATCATAACTACAAGTGGCACATGCGTGCCCAGGCTCATGCAAGATCAGTGGGGGGCCGCCGATGGGGATGTCACAGCTTGAGATTCCTCGACACGTTGAGAAGCACTCTTGTCGGCACGAGGCAACGGAGGTTAGATCAACATTGGAGAGCTACGCTGGGAATTAAAGGCAAACCGATACTTTTTCTTGCCGTGCTGTGCGCCATCACTGGGCTCCGATCTGTTTTCGACCGTTGCCTTATACAGTGATGACACACTACGCAGGAAGCACGTTTGCAACAACTTGTTCTCTAACAGCTCGGCGCAACAACACTGACATACATTGTTTTTACCTAACATCGAAGACTGATCGGTTTCTAATAGGGTAAAAAGAGAGCAGCGCATTACTCCACAGGGGGGTCTGGGCAGCCGTTGGGGGGCCGTTGGGGTTTGCCGGGGGGGATCGTTTTTCGCATACAGTCATACACTTCGTGCTTTTCGATTTCCCAGAGCTCCATTCCCGGGCCACATTCTGAATGCCCGGAGCCAACTGTACGCCACTTCGTGCTCTTCGACTTCCCAGAACTCCATTCCCGGGCCACATTTTGGATGCCCGGAGCCAACTGTAGGCCACTTCGTGCTCTTCGACTTCCCAGAACTCCATTCCCGGGCCACATTTTGGATGCCCGGAGCCAACTGTAGGCCACTTCGTGCTCTTCGAGTTCCCAGAACTCCATTCCCGGGCCACATTTTGAATGCCCGGAGCCAACTGTAGGCCACTTCGTGATCTTCGAGTTCCCAGAACTCCATTCCTGGGCATGATTTTGAATGCCCGGAGCCAACTGTAGGCCACTTCGTGTCTTCGAGTTCCCAGAACTCCATTCCCGGGCCACATTTTGAATGCTGAGGCAGGCTGAGGCTGAGGCTGAGGCTGAGGCTGAGGCAGGCTGAGGCTGAGGCTGAGGCTGAGGCTGAGGCTGAGGCTGAGGCTGAGGCTGAGGCTGAGGCTGATGGCTGAGGCAGGCTGAGGCTGAGGCTGAGGCTGAGGCTGAGGCTGAGGCAGGCTGAGGCTGAGGCTGAGGCTGATGCAGGCTGAGGCTGAGGCAGGCTGAGGCTGAGGCCAAGGCTGAAGGCAGACTGAGGCTTTGGCTGAAGCAGGCTGAGGCTGAGGCTGAGGCTGAGGCTGAGGCAGGCTGAGGCTGAGGCTGAGGCAGGCTGATGCTGAGGCAGGCTGAGGCTGAGGCTGAGGCTGAGGCTGAGGCTGAGGCTGAGGCTGAGGCTGATGGCTGAGGCTGAGGCAGGCTGAGGC